AAAGGGGATACAGTTCCTAGACATATAAAATTTTCATTCTGGAATCCTGTTCGATGCCGCATCATTTGGATAACACTACGTCTGCAGAGACCTGATTCAAGTTTTGTCAATTTTGAAAGAGACTTTAATCTTTTTTCTCTAGATGAAAACCCATTTTCACAACTTGATAGGCGTGCCTCTTTAGGAGGACCAGTTGAAAGTGATCCATGTCTTCATGCCAAAGAATCCTGGTACTTGGAAGTCCTGTGAGAACCGACACGGGGCTAACATTAACACAAGGCTCTGACCAGATAAATGTAAGAAACTAGTTGGAGAAACCTCCTCAACTAAACAGATTCAAGTTGCTACTAATGCTTCATTTCTTGTGCCATCGTGATTAAGTCTGCTATTTAATATAAATATAATGTGTATAGCCGTTCATAATCATTCTTTTCTCTTTCAGGTTCCAATTGAGGCCGAGGGGTTAACCGACAACGATCTTATTCTAGAACAGTATCTATCCCCAGCCTCACCAATGCTGGCAGGATTTTGTCTTGATGGTTTCAGTGCAATCAAGCTTTGAGTTACCCATTCACCTTCTTCCGATGTAAATATATGGGATATGCCATCAAACATTTTGGAAGATAGACTCATATCTCCAGTTGTATTATATTTACAGGTATCTGCTCTCCAGGTATTATATGGTTTATCACGCTGCTAAATTGTTACTCCCTCTTTAGCACCGTATATCTGGTGAATTGATTTATGATGTGGACTGTAAGGGGTAGAAATCACTACGGATCTCATCCCTCCACTTGAAGGATTCCGGCTGACCTGGCGCACCGAGCCCCAGTAGCCTTTACCTCTCTTCGCCAATAAGACCCTTTCCTAAGGCAATCCCACATCGGAAGAGAGTCGTCTTCCCCCCTGCCATATAAGTGAACACTTCCTATGGAGGAGGTACCCACTAGCGACCTAATATCCTAAGCAGGGAAAACGGCTAGGGGCAATGATGAAGCAATTGGGGTTGTTGTAAAACCCTTCGTCTCCTTACAACGCGTGTCCTCGGTGTCAGAAGATCGAAGGCTGGGGGCAGTTGATGGGACATTTCTGGAATACTCCAAGATGAAGACACGTGTCCTCGATGTCACTGATCCTTGTTTATCGAATATCACGTACCCATCGGGGTCACAAGTCCCCTCTACCCCGAGGTACTTATCATGGATCGAGTGGCATCCAGTACGTTTTTATATACCGACACGTACCCTCGGTCTGATATGGTACATCGGTCGCTAGGCCTCCCCCCTCTCGGATTCAAGATGTACCGTTTCCTCGGTACCGAGATGTACCCCCTCTCATCCATGATGAAGTTCTCAGCTCCAGCAGAGGTTATTGATGTACTGGTCACTAGCCTAGGCTAGGCTAGGTTAGCTATCATGACCTCGTCTTACACAATTGGTGTTAGAAGGCATAGGAAGGCAGGGGCCACAGCCAATGAGGAATGAACGCATGGCATATTGTGTCACATCAGAGACAGAAAGACCGCATGACCTTGCTGACACGCGACTTGGGAAAACAAGCATTTAATTACACCATTCCCTTGATGAGACTGCATTCAATGCGGTAAGGCTCAGAAGTGAAAGGCAATAAATGTCTCTAAGACTGGGCATTTGTTGCATCCTCCCCGAGAGGAGCTCATTGAACCGTCGGTAGGTCGATGACACAGACTTGATTGTTCGGGGTCCCGAGTAGTTAAGAGAGAAGACATTTCTCATAGGAATCAGTGCGCACGTTGCCTGTATCTAATGATCACCTACTGACCACACTGACAACAATCATGAGTATTTGAGGTATAAATACTCCTCACTAAAGGCAAGAACAGGAGGTGAAACTTTTGCTACAAATTATATTCAGTGTTTTCTTCTTCCTCTCTCTCAAAAACTGACTTGATCGTCGGAGGGGATACGCCGGAAAATACTCCGGCGCCCTTCTACCTTGTTCTTCTTTGTTCCAGGAACTTTTCTTCAGCCTTACTGGATCGTTCCTTTGATCCGCGAGGGTCTCCCATTACCGTTCCAGGTTACCACCGGATCTCACAGGCTGTTCCAAGCAGCGTGGTTGACCACTCAACTGACTCACTCGAGTTCACCAAGGGAGAGTTCTGTTCTCGTTTTTATATTGTGCAAGATCTAGCACGCACATGAACTATTTTTTCTCTCCAAGTAATGAAACATCTATTTGCTGGGAATATGTGCAATGGTATTTTCTCCTATTGATGTGGCTTTTTTTCTCATAGTAGTATAACATCTTATGTGCTGGGAAACTTTACATTGCTACAACTGGTTTTGTCAAATGGCAAAATTTCATTTAGCTAACATGCAGTAGTTGGATGCATGTCCAAGTCATGGATAACACTTATATAACCTGTGAGATTGCGCAGATCGATGTCCGGTTAAACCCTAAATGGACATTGGGAAGGGGAGAAACGGGGGGTAGGTATTTTGCATAAACTTGTGAAGAATGGATATAGATATGAGAAATGGGTACGATACGATATGAATACAATGATATGAAAAAATTTAGAAAAATAAGATATAGGTACAATCAGGATACGTCTATAATAAAGTATATTTTATATTTTACTATTGTCTAACAACTTTAAAAATTGCAAGTTTTAGTAGTTTTTTAACAATAGTAAGCAGAATTAGTAATTTTTACCTTGAAAAAAGTGTAATATTGTCTCATTATGATATATCATAATGTGAATGTGACCCATTAAAATAATCAGAACTAACTAGTTGGTTTGCGTACAAGTATTTGTTTTTAAGATTGTAGTGTAACTAATTTTTTATACTCTTTTGACATGTGATAGTAGATAATACTTAAATAATACTCGTGTCTTCAAAGTCGAATGAAATTTGTTAATGTTTTGTATTGCATGAGAACTCAAAAAGAGATGATATAAATTAAAATTAAAAATTACAAATCTTGCTCCATATGTAGAAATATTCGCGAAGTATCAACATATTTTACTAATTAGTAGATACGTATAAAGTCTATCCAATACATATCACCAAGTATCCAACGAATATTGTATTTGATGCGGGCGCCCCAACCTTGACGAAGTATCCGTGTTTTATAGGCAGACATGATTACCAATTAAGAATTTTAATGACCTAGTTCATTCAATAATCATAAATCATATTCCAAATAGTCAAATGAGATTGTTCAATGCAAATATACTGATCTAGTGTGTTTGAAGATCTAAAAGCAAATAATCATACATAACTAAGGCATAAAATTTTGAACGTGGAAACCCTTGGGAGAAAAACCATGGGATCTAGTCGAGCCTAACTTTGTAGTATTGAAAATTTGAAATTGGCAATACAAACTCATGTACTAACAACCCCTTGTTAGGTATCCTCTTGTCTTGTGCTCCTCTCAACAAACTCACTGTTATAGTTCAACTCACAGATCATTGGCTCCTCCGACAAAGGTTAGGTCACACTCCTCCTGGAATGCTGCTAGCATGTCCTCCTTGAATCTTGATCTTTCTCGGATCTTCATGACTTTCTTTGGATTTGAATTAATTTGAGAAAACTTGTAATGGCTCCTAGGGTTTTTGATTTGAAAGATCTCTTCAAAACCTTTGTTTTTCTCTATGAAAAACATCCTAGAAATTCATATTTATAGAAAAAACCTATTTAACAGAGTTGAGGAAGTTATCCTAATTCAAACAGGATTCTTATACACCACAGTCGCTCGAGTGTGCAATCTCTCACTTTAGCGCGCTTGGGCTCGTTCGGGCTTCAAGCAAGCCAAAGGCAAGTGCGAGTTACAATTGTTTATTAGAACTTGTATCAACTTTTTGGCTCGAGCAAGAAGCCTATGCTAGGTGAGCCCTAGCTATTGGAAACCATCCGAAACTAATCCAATTGACCTCAAACAATGCTTAGGTTTTGCTTGAATGTTGTCTATACTTGGATCGTATTTTACACTTAAAAATCAAGTTTTTGATACCAAAAATGTAAGACTAAGTATACATCACGTAAATCAAGTCTCGACAATATTTTTCAAATAATTTCAAAGCTTACTAAGGTATCTAAGTTCACTTATGAGTCCTAACTGGAGTGTGAATGCCATGAGATTAACTTGATCATCTTCTTGAATCTTCAATCCAATCTTCAAGTAAGCTTTATCTCATCCAGCTTGAATATATTCAATCTTCAATGCAATAATCAAAATTCCTCAACCAACCTCAACTAATTTGATCCATGTGACTCACAGAAATATGCCAGTTTCGAACAATACATTATGCCATGGTATGAGATCAAATATGCGGAACTTGACCTAGCTATGACACATTAAATGAGTGTTTGCTTTGTGGTGGTGGTGTATCTTTTACATCTTTATAAACTCTTCTAGGTTTGTAACTGGCAAGCTGCTTCTTTAGTTCCGGTTTATAGTTCTGAATGTCCTTGAAGTGTTGAGGATGTTGGCATCTAAATCATGTAAGTAGGATAAGGAGGCAGTCTTTCACTTGCTAGGGGGCTTAAATTAATCTCTTACTTTCTTATCTTCTTTCTTCTTCCCCTTCTCGTCTCAAGATTCCTAGTGTATCGTCCATGTTGCCAGATTGAGGTCTTCATGTTGTTAGTAGTTTTGATGAATCTTCACAACTCAAGCTCGCAGAATCCTTGCTCTCTGAAACAACATTAGCATCATCAGTTCGTAATCCATAGTGAATGCTTGCCATATTCGGAAGAACGTGCTAAATATGGCTTCTCCTTATTGGCTCAAGTTTTTTTATACTAACAAATCAAAATTGAAGTGTTTTGGATTAAGTCTCTTAATTATGATTGCTTAATATACTATTTAATGACGTGATAACTTACCAGTTCTAAAGTCATCTTCACATTACCTAACAAAATTCTTGTGACTATTCGCATGAAGGACATAATTTATTTTAAAATTAATAACCATATGCTTAAGCCATCATCTGCTGAGTTCTAGGGGGGTAGTGATTAGAAGTTATACCACATGCCCTAAATACTGAGGTGGTCCTCGGCCTAGTTCCCCAATATAGAGTTGTTTAGTTGCCATACTACACCTTTGTGCATACCTGTCTTAGATTTTGGCAAATGTTTTATTTGGCCAACTTTAGTCTTGTCACACGGCTCTCAAAATCTAGAATTGTAAGTGTTTTTGAAGATTGCTAACCTAAAAATGGAAGAGCATGCTTTGAACCCTAGATGTTGGCGGTCACCCTATTTTGGGGCATGTTGGAATTGGGAGCTGAGAGCCTGTGCAACTCCCTGTAAAACAGCCACTGGTGTTCAAGGTCTTGATGTTTATATTAACTTTGTGTCTTTGTCTTTTTTGTGCAAGCATTTCGTGTACAAACTCCCAAGCTATTGTTGAAAGCTAGGGTTTGTGAAGAGTACATCATCGGTTAGTGCAACAGTAGAAGTTTGGGCTGTAAAGTGGGTATGTAGAAATAAGTCTAAGGCAGCTATTTTTTGCTAGTAGAGGCATAAGTTGGTTTATGCACTACCCAGTCCTTCCGAGAACCTATATAAGATGGGATCAGCCCTCATATACTTTGAATGCCTTTATCCGTTATGCTTGCTTTTTTCTTGGATGGGCCTAGTTTTGGAACAAGAAATTTAGTTGTTACTCCTTTAATACTGGGAAAAAATGTCTTAGTGAAAACGTAGTATGGCATTTCAACATTTAATGAGAACGTTTTATGATTTATTAACAGGAACCTAACAACATGTTCACTGTTGCGGAGTATCGGTTACCAGAAGTGAAGGCTGAAATAGCCATGTACTTCGATTTCCCTAGGCAGATAAACTCTCGCCGAATCTCATTTAGACTTCTTGGAGATGATGTTGCATTTGCAGATGACCCAACCGAACAAGAGGATTCAGATTTTTTTAGAGCTCGACCACTAGCAACAGGTTTGTCTTTGTCAAATAGATTCAAGTTGTATTATTATGCTGATCCTTAGGAACTTGGAAAATGGGCCAGCCTTTCGGCTGTTTGATTGGTTTGTACAGATGAAAGGAGTGGGAAATTGGATGTGATTGGCTTTGTAGATGAACTTATTTTTGTTTGTTGTAGTTTTGAGATGTGTAATAGTTATCATTCATTCATTAATGTAATTATAGTGGTGATAAATTAAAATGGCTTGTATAAATGAGTGCACGATCAGTTTGATGAGATTATCAGCAACTAGTGTTAGATGTTCGTATTTCTGCTTTGAACTTATTAGTGGAGTTGTATTAGGATACTCTCTGAATGCTCAATGAAGCATCTCTTATTTGGCTAACTGCAAGCATTGACCCAGGCCTTACCACGCAACAGATTCATAGTTATTTGACGCCCTGTATGGGTCTCTTTGAGATTTTCTACCAGTTGTGACTTAACCAAGTCAAGTTACAATTTTTCGACAGACCACGTAACAATTCAATGGGGCCGTTAGGATCAAAAAAGGGGGGGGGGGGGGGGACCGATGCTTGGTTTTTATTGTTGATTATAATCTTTTTGGACTTTACTGAGATGTAATTTTACTTTATAGGGTCGTAATTTGTGTAATTTTTTTTAGTACAATACCAAGTTGGTAATGCAGATTCTTCTCTCTCTCTCTCAAAATTATGTATGGATTTTGTGGCTTCCTTGTGGTTCATGAGTTCGTCCATCAATTTTAAACATGTTCACCATGGGTCCTTTAAAATTGCAAACTATAAGTAACTAAGATATATGTACCTTAAAAAAGAAAAAGAAAAAGGGAGAATTATATATATATATATATATATATATATATAAATTAAATTTCAAAATTTGAGGAAATTATGAAAATGCGACTACATGGAAATTTTTTCCAAGCTACTGCTTGGTTGTAGCAGAGCCTTCCTCATCTTTCTCCAAGCCTCCAGAAGAGTTGAGGATATTTTGAACTCTTCGTCCTTGGCCTTGGAGTTGATTAAAAAGGTTTGTACAGAGCGGAACATAAGAGAGAAGGGGGAATAACAAAACTTTGGGAGAGGCTAATTTGAGCTACAAGGGGTATATTTCTTACCTAATTAGGACCTTAGGAGTTCATTTTTGGAGTTTAAATAGAGTTTTATATTCTGAATAAGCATGAATTCATGTTTTGAATTTTTGGGTTTTCTGGGTTTTGAAACGAGTTTGATTTTCTGTCGAGTTTTGTTTTGATTCTTAGTTTATAAATAATTTTTGGGAGTTTTTTATGAAGATTGATGGTGATTTGATGGGTGGCCGTGATCTGTAGAAGTGGTGTGAGGGTGGTGTAGTAGATAGCTAGAGTTTGGAGTTCTTGAAAATTAAAGCTTTGATTCTTGAGCTTTTAAAGCATAAGGAGTATTGTTCTAGACTAAAAACAACCCTAGGAATCTATTGGTGACCATAGAAATTAATTTAGAGTTCATTTGGGCGGTGAAAAAGGCAGTTCCATGTCTGTCCATGAGTTGTAAAATCTTATTTTCTTCAAACTTTGTTTCAATTTTAGGATAGGTTAGAGTTTGATTCGAAGGGTCTCACCTATGGGGATCTGAAGAGGGTCATGTGGTGAGTGTTTGGGTTATAAAAAAGGGAAAAAGAAGTATTGTGGAGTATGAAATAAGGGTGAGAAGAAAAGTACTTGAAACAGAATTTAGATACTTACAGTTTGTTAGAGGTTGAAAATGACGTGGATCGGAGGACCACTAGACATCCCAACGGCGCATCCAATGTCCAATGGTGCTCTGGTTAGTGGCGTTGGAACCCTAACAGGTAGGGAAAGGTCTGGGTAAAATTTTAGAGCAATCTGACATCGTTTGCCAAAGGTGTTGTGAAATGTTTATTTTGCCTTTCGGGGTGGAGTGCGAAATTGGGGTGAGAAGAAAGGTAGTTGAAACATAACTTAGATACTTACAGTTTGTTGGAGGTTGAAAATGAAGTGGACCGGAGGATCACTAGACATCCCAAAGGCACGCTCGATGTCCAATGGTGCTCTAGTTAGTGGTGTTGGAACCTTAACAGGCAAAGGAAGGTCTGGGTAAAATTTTAGAACAATTCGACATCGTTTGCCATAGGTGTTGTGAAATGTTTATTTTGCCCTTCAGGGGGCGATTTGACCTAATTTTTGGGTGAATTTTATCAATATATATATATATATATATATATATTCAATCTTAGGTAGGTTAATTGAATGTGTATGAAATTTCATCGAAAATAACATCTTTTTATTTTTGGCAATTTCGAATCGAAAAGCAATGCAATGTAGGGTTTCTTCAAAACAGATGCAACATTTCAAAATTCATTTATAAATTATTACTTACATGATTTATGAATGTTTAACATGTTTTAAATCATTTGATTGGGTTGTTGAACTTGGACTAGAAATTACAGATTAGAATTAGGGTTATGAGTGCAGTAATGCACAGCCGCTTGAAATGATTAATTTGATTGTATGAAATGAGATACCATAATTCTTTTAAACTAAATGTAAGTGCAAACAGGTCGAGTGACAGAGGGTTTATGTTCTAGTTTGAGACTGTAGAGGGTACTTATTGAGTTTATAAACACCTGGGTGGCCTAGTTAGTCTTCGGACTTGGGTGTTGAACTTTGACTTGGGAGCATATCTTCTCGAGATGCAAGTCCCTCAAAAGGTTGGATCGTATGCTCGTATGGACCCTAAGTGATCTATTGGGATGAATGCCCACCTGTGTAGCACTGTATAGGATATTTCTAAACTTTCTTTTACTGTTTAGTTTTTTTTTATCTAAATGACTTTGTTTACATGAAATGATCTTGTTTACCTTTTGCCTAATCATGCGAAAATATGTTATTTTCAAACTCATTTGATTGGAAATTGAGTTACTCTACTGAATTGTTGATGCTCAACCTACATTATTTTCCCCTTTTAAGATGTGTGAAAGCGGGAAGATTTATACATAGTGAACTTCTAGGGAACTTGTATAGTTTAGGGGGTGTAACTGAAGCATGTAATTAGAATAAAAGAAAAACCTTATGTGTAACATGTACTTTTCTGATCAGTGGTTGTGAAATAATTTGGGTAGAATACGTATGTTATGTAGTTGCTTATACATAAATCTTTAATTTTTATGCTGTCAGTTGTTTTGCTATACTAAATTGTTACTCTTGTATGCTATTATAATGTTTCGTGGATCACAATAACATCTGTCACATGGCTGGGTTGAGCCGGGGTTTGACTTAGTCTCAAAGCATAGATTTGAGATTCTGTAGACTGCCTTAGGTTTAGCTACTTAGGATGATGACTTGTGGGTATTGGTGAATTGATTCGTGATGAACATAAGGTTTATCATATCAAAGATATTACTTCTAGTGACTTACCTATCTGTTGGTGGATTAACTTTGATTTTATAGGAAATGAGTTTCAGGGATGATTTGTGCGCGAGCTATTTTGATTGAGGTCATACCAACACGATTAGTATTTTATAAGAGTTGCACAACGGTATCACAGTGTAACAATCGAGTGGAAATCAAGTGAACGTAATTAAAGGGGTGTGTAGTTATGATGAAGGTGAATCGAGATACTTAGCGGTACGTGGTAAATATTTTATTTTCGGGAACTATTATGTAAAATTAACATGTCTTACTAGGATATAGATGTGAATTGGAGTTAAATTTCAAGGACAAAATTTCTTTTAAGGTGGGTAAATTGTAATAATTTGTATTCAAAAATTAGAAATCAGATTAGAATTTGGGTGTGTGTGGTTACGGGTTTGGATATTAGAGAACCGAACTGTGGTTAAGGAATTACTAGAAGGTGTGTGGGGTGTTTTAATGTTAATTGATATGTTTAAATAGGGTAGGAAATTGATTTGTGAGATGAGAGGAATCCGGAGTGTAGATCTAGTATGTTATGTCAAACCTAAATCTGGGAATCAGGGTGCAAAATGAAAAATTCAAAGATTAAATTGAACATTAATTTTAATTTAAAAATTAAATTTCAAATTTTGAGGGAATTATGAAATTGCAACTGCTTGACAATTCTTTCCAAGCTGCAGTAAAGGCTTCCTCGTCCTTCTCCAAGCCTCCAGAAGAGTTGAGTATGTCTTGAACTCTTCATCCTTAGCCCTGGAGTTGACTCAAATGGTTTGTAGAGAGAGAAAAATAGAAGAGAGAAGTTAGAGAGAGAGGGGTGAAGAACAAACCTTCAAGAGATACTACGTTATTATTAACATGTGGTATTATCAACCAATATAAAATGTTACGTACAATTGATGAACTCCAATATTCCAATATGACAATTATTCTATATTATAGTTATTGAAAGTTATTAAAATAGTAAAATTTTATAATTATGGTATTAATATAATTGATTGGTTATACTAAGTGTCATTAATGACGTAATACATTGTTTAGCGTATTTTTGGATTGCTGTGGGCGTGCCAAAGTCCTATTGGACTTAAAATTTAAACACATAGGACCTTACCTACATGAATCGGTGTGAGATTTTAAAATCGTGACTGTTTAGGCAATTGTAGCGAGGCATAAGGCTACCTCTGAATTCTTTTCTATGCCTTATAGTGCAAGGATTTTAAATAATTTTCCAAATAAAAATGTAATAGGCAACACCATAAAGAGAACAATAAGAATGAAAAGTAGCAAATAAATGGAATCTAAATCTAAAAAAAATGAAATGAATACTGTACTTAACATTAAATGAAAGTAATAGAGGATCACTAGAGTGATGATTACAAGGAAAGTAAAATTGCCCGAGCGCAAGAAATAAGTATAAGGTAGGCTGTCTCTGTGAAGAGTTTGTGCGTTTGATCATGGATCCTTTCTTAGTGGTTTAGTCTCTGCTATTTATAGAGATGTCCTTCAACTATCCACCCATCTTTTTCAGTCATTACTACATCATGGCCTTGTCCCTCGAGATACATGGATGTGCAATGAACCGTCTTCAACTGGCGGCTCATGATGCCATGTTTTTGTCATTTCTCAAAATTCTAAGA